CAGGCTTGCACCATTACGCCTGGTTTTGGGACAGACACAGTGCACCCAGGGTTTTGGGGCCAGCACAGCATGCAGTACCGGGTTTCAAACTTGGGACACTGCACTTGCCAGGCAGGTGTGGAGACTGCAGAGCTATTTCCCTGTCCCCAAGAAGGTATATTTGTTTAAATCATATTTTCTTGATAGAAATAGGTGTTAGATGGCCTAATCCAGCCTTCAAGATCTAATTTACTTTTTGTATGTAATGATCATGCAATGATACGAGGTTCTACAATAATTTAAGATTAGTCTTGCTTGATTGGTATATTTTCAAATACACCTTCCTTCTCACTCAGTCAACAGGTGCCCCAGCTTCTATCCAGAGGTGGGGCTGCTGCCTGCTACATATTGCATTTTGGGTTGCAATTCCTGTGTTCCTCTATTTCTCTCTCGTATTACATTTATTTGTAATTGCAAAATCTACAGGACAAGGGAAGTCATTTTGTATATTCATGGTTCCTACTCATATATACTTTCTGTGCCAAATGCTTAAATTCAAAGGAATCCTGTTGGTTAATATGATTTTAATTGTGTAGTATTTTTGGGATGATTTAGGTCATGGCAACATTCATTATATAACGGAATATGAAAGCATATTTATTCTTTCTACATTTTGTAATTTGCTCATACATTTTATGTCAAATGAATGCTGGAACTCATGTAATATGTATTTTGTGTAGATTTTATGTCAGATAAATACATGAAATATCTTATGTAGCAGTATTTTGAAGCACAAGAATGCTGCCCTTGAGCCCACTTTGTGGCCTAGGCTGGTCTCGAACTTTTGCAACTATTTTTCTGCCTCTTGAGTACTGGCATTACAGGTGTGCCCCACCATGCATGGCTTATATGTTATATATTATATGCCATAATATTCCAGAGATCATTGTGTTGTATAAACTATATATACTTCATAACTTATACAGCATTTACATTGTCCAAATGTCATATAATATTTTCAGACATTTTAAAAAAAGAGTAAAGATTGTTCTACTTTTTTTTTTTTTGCGGAACCGTGATTGAACTCAGGCCCTTGTGCTTGCCAGGGAAGCGCTTATTCCACTGAGCCATCTCCCCAGCCCCAAGATTGTCCTATTCTCCTCTTGGTTGTTTCATGGCCAGCCTCTCACAGACTATAGACAGGAGCACCAAACAACACTCCATTAGCCAATGAAGAAGGCTGCATTCCTCTGTCAAATATGCAAGTCTAATTTTTCTCCTTTTCATAACATCCTCTCCAAAGGATGTTATGGAACTAACTTCTGTAGCCCAGAGAGTCAGTCTAACACCAAGGTCCCTCACACGCATACTGACTCCAGTACTATTTTATTGGTAGTAGTGCTGGGAAGCTCAGATACAAGGGACATGGTGAATGAATGCATGTCAGATAGTACTGGGTCCAGGGCCTCTGTCCAACAGGTGGTTGGCTGGCTCCCACTACTGGACACTCAATAGTTGATCCATTCTACCCCAAACCCATCAATGCAGATCAGGCTGCGAGGTCTTACAATTGGTGCTCCCTGGACTGATCCTTTGCTATAGGCAAGAGCTGTGGGAAGAGCTGCCCTAACTCAGTCACACTCAAGAGTCATCCTGGCAGAGAATGCAGAGGAACCTCAGACATAGGAAGGTCCAGTCCTACTGCAGTAGGCGCAGTTGAAATCCAAGGGGAACTGGCCCCCACCTGAGTATATCTGCAAAGGCTCCTGGCCCCTGCTCAGCACTGGGACACTGCTCCGCGCCTGAGCAGCTGGAGCCTCCTGGTCTGTGCTCTGAAGTGCATTTGGAGTATCGTTTTCCATGTATTTGTTTAGTCTGCCTGTATCTTCATGGATGGGTTATGTCTCTTCTGGGAACATATAGCTGGGTCGTGTTTTCTGATACAATTTGCCAGTATATGGAGTTAAGCCTATTTACAATGGATATTACTATTGAAAGATATACTAACTCTTGTGTGCTTGATTCCTTTCTGTTTCACTTTTGCTTAACTACTTTTCCAGTGAGACCTTCTCTGGGGCTCTTTGGTTGTTTTCCTCTTTGTCTCTATATTACTTTAAGTATTTTCTGCAGTGCTGGTTTGGTACTCATGAATTTCTTTAGTTTATCTTTATCATCGAAGGTCTTTATTTTTCAACCAATTTTGAAGGGTAATTTTCCATGACACAGTAATGTAGGTTGGCAATTATTTTGTTTTACGGCTTGAAAAACTTCACTTCAATATTTCCTGGACTTTAAGATTTGTGTTGAAAAATCTATTATAATAATAGCTTTGCCCTTATTGGGGTGATTTGGTACTTCTCTCTAACAGCTTTTAGTATTCTTTTTTTGTTCTAATTTTCTGGGAAATTGACTATGATATATTGTGGAGCAGTTCTTTTTTCTTTCTTTTTTTTTTTTCAAAGTTTTATTGACAAACAGATATCAATGAGACAGTTTCAAATCATATCGGAAGGACAGTTGCAACAAATAATACACTGCATATATTCTTCTTAGTGGTTAATTGCTGTACAAGATGCGGACTTGTGATCC